ACACGCATCGAGGAACATGGAAGGCACTGCAGACTAAGTCAATCAGAGAAGTCAGCCATAGCAGAGCACCTGGTGAACCAGCCTGGACACAGCATATTATTTGAGAAGACAGAAATGCTGGACCACTCTCACAACCACCATGTCAGGCTACACAGAGAAGCCATTGAAATCCACAAGCATGTGGACAATTTCAACAGAAAGGAGGAAACCATGAAAATGAACAAAATCTGGCTAAAATTACAACAGCAAAACAACAGAGGGGAAACATGAGGCACATCTAATCACCTCTCAACAAAAGATTGCCCCAGGCACTGCCAGGCCATCAAATGCTAATCAAGGTGGTCAGTTGAAACATTCCCACCTAGCTCCAGCAGACAAGAGTCCTTTGCCCCACCCTGGTCATTATTCCACAGATATATAAACCCCTTTTCCCTAGTTCCAACAGACCTCACAACCTCTGAGGATGCTTGCCATAGATGCAGGCGAAATGTCAGGAGAAATGCCTCTAGAACAGGGGTAGGGAACCTTTGGCCCTCCAGCTGTGGTGGACTTCAACTCCCACAATTCCTTGAGGCTCGGCATTCGCCCCAAAGGCTTACCTTGGCCCAATGCCGAGCCTCAAGGGATTGTGGGAGTTGAAGTCCACCACAGCTGGAGGGCCAAAGGTTCCCTACCCCTGCTCTAGAACATGGCCATATAGCCCAAAAAAACCCTACAAAAACCCAGTGATTCGATCCACGGAAGCCTTCGACAATACAATACAATTGGAAGCAGGCAGAATGGGCCTTCAGGGGGACCTTGGGACAGAAAGGCAGGAAGGCGACACAGGATTTATTGACCGTCTCAGGAGCAGACCCAACAGTTGTATTGCATTTTAAGAAACAAACAAACAAACAAACTAAACACAAAGTTGGCAAGCTTGGTAGTGGATTCAATGCGCTTTGACCAGTCTCTGGACACTTGGAGTGACCCTGGGGTTCCTTACACCAGAGGTGACACATTGTGGGATTAACAGAACTCAAAAACCACGGGGGGAAGTGCCACCAAATTTGGACACAAGGCACCTAACAACCCCACGCACGCCCTTCGCTCATAAAAACACTGACAAACACAGCAGAGGGGAATTCAAAAGCCCCCAAAAGCTAAATGACAATGCAGAAAAAAAGGAAGAAAAAGGGAGGGAAGGGGAGAAAGAAAGAAAGAAAGAAAGAAAGAAAAGAAAGAAGGAAAGGGAGAAAGAGGGAGGAAAAGAAAAAGGTGGAAGGAAGGAAAGTTAGAGAAGGAGTGACCCAAGGAGTGACTAACACTCAAAATAAGGAGATTTTTGTCATTTGGGAGTTGTAGTTGCTGGGATTTATAGTTAATCTACTATCAGAGAGCACTCTGAACTTCACCAATGATAGAATTGGGCCAAATAGGGCACACACAACTCCCATGACCAACAGAAAACACTAGAAGGGTTTGGTGGGCCTTGACCTTGAGTTTGGGAGTTGTAGTACATACATGCAGAGAACACTGTGGACTCAAACAAGGATGGATCTGGACCAAACTTGGCACAAATATTCCCTATGCCCAACTAGAAGCACAGATGGAGTTTGGGGGAAATAGACCTTGACATTTGGGAGATGTAGTTGCTGGGATTTATAGTTCACCTACAATCAGAGAGCACTCTGAACTCCACCAATGATGGAATTGAACCAAACATGGCACACAGAACTCCCACAGCCAACAGAAAACACCAGAAGGGTTTGGTGGGCATTGACCTTGAGTTTGGGAGTTGTAGTTCACCTCCATCCAGAGAGCACTGTGGACTCAAACAAGGATGGATCTGGACCAAACTTGGCACAAATATTCCCTATGCCCAACTAGAAGCACAGATGGAGTTTGGGGGAAATAGACCTTGACATTTGGGAGATGTAGTTGCTGGGATTTATAGTTCACCTACAATCAGAGAGAACTCTGAACTCCACCAATGATGGAATTGAACCAAACATGGCACACAGGAGTCCCATAGCCAACAGAAAACACCAGAAGGGTTTGGTGGGCATTGACCTTGAGTTTGGGAGTTGTAGTTCACCTCCATCCAGAGAGCACTGTGGACTCAAACAAGGATGGATCTGGACCAAACTTGGCACAAATATTCCCTATGCCCAACTAGAAGCACAGATGGAGTTTGGGGGGGGAAATAGACCTTGACATTAGGGAGATGTAGTTGCTGGGATTTATAGTTCACCTACAATCAGAGAGCACTCTGAACTCCACCAATGATGGAATTGAACCAAACATGGCACACAGAACTCCCACAGCCAACAGAAAACACCAGAAGGGTTTGGTGGGCATTGACCTTGAGTTTTGGAGTTGTAGTTCACCTACATCCAGAGAGCACTGTGGACTCAAACAATGATAGATCTGGACGAAACTTGGCACAAATATTCCCTATGCCCAACTAGAAGCACAGATGGAGTTTGGGGGAAATAGACCTTGACATTTGGGAGATGTAGTTGCTGGGATTTATAGTTCACCTACAATCAGAGAGAACTCTGAACTCCACCAATGATGGAATTGAACCAAACATGGCACACAGGAGTCCCATAGCCAACAGAAAACACCAGAAGGGTTTGGTGGGCATTGACCTTGAGTTTGGGAGTTGTAGTTCACCTCCATCCAGAGAGCACTGTGGACTCAAACAATGATGGATCTGGACCAAACTTGGCACAAATATTCCATATGCCCAAATAGAACACAGATGGAGTTTGGGGGAAATAGACCTTGACATTTGGGAGATGTAGTTGCTGGGATTTATAGTTCACCTACAATCAGAGAGAACTCTGAACTCCACCAATGATGGAATTGAACCAAACATGGCACACAGGAGTCCCATAGCCAACAGAAAACACCAGAAGGGTTTGGTGGGCATTGACCTTGAGTTTGGGAGTTGTAGTTCACCTCCATCCAGAGAGCACTGTGGACTCAAACAATGATGGATCTGGACCAAACTTGGCACAAATATTCCATATGCCCAAATATGAACACAGATGGAGTTTGGGGGAAATAGACCTTGACATTTGGGAGATGTAGTTGCTGGGATTTATAGTTCACCTACAATCAGAGAGCACTCTGAACTCCACCAATGATGGAATTGAACCAAACATGGCACACAGAACTCCCACAGCCAACAGAAAACACCAGAAGGGTTTGGTGGGCATTGACCTTGAGTTTGGGAGTTGTAGTTCACCTCCATCCAGAGAGCACTGTGGACTCAAACAAGGATGGATCTGGACCAAACTTGGCACAAATATTCCCTATGCCCAACTAGAAGCACAGATGGAGTTTGGGGGAAATAGACCTTGACATTTGGGAGATGTAGTTGCTGGGATTTATAGTTCACCTACAATCAGAGAGAACTCTGAACTCCACCAATGATGGAATTGAACCAAACATGGCACACAGGAGTCCCATAGCCAACAGAAAACACCAGAAGGGTTTGGTGGGCATTGACCTTGAGTTTGGGAGTTGTAGTTCACCTCCATCCAGAGAGCACTGTGGACTCAAACAAGGATGGATCTGGACCAAACTTGGCACAAATATTCCCTATGCCCAACTAGAAGCACAGATGGAGTTTGGGGGAAATAGACCTTGACATTTGGGAGATGTAGTTGCTGGGATTTATAGTTCACCTACAATCAGAGAGCACTCTGAACTCCACCAATGATGGAATTGAACCAAACATGGCACACAGAACTCCCACAGCCAACAGAAAACACCAGAAGGGTTTGGTGGGCATTGACCTTGAGTTTGGGAGTTGTAGTTCACCTACATCCAGAGAGCACTGTGGACTCAAACAAGGATGGAGCTGGACCAAACTTGGCACGAATTCAATATGCCCAAATATGAACACAGATGGAGTTTGGGGGAAATAGACCTTGACATTTGGGAGATGTAGTTGCTGGGATTTATAGTTCACCTACAATCAGAGAGAACTCTGAACTCCACCAATGATGGAATTGAACCAAACATGGCACACAGGAGTCCCATAGCCAACAGAAAACACCAGAAGGGTTTGGTGGGCATTGACCTTGAGTTTGGGAGTTGTAGTTCACCTCCATCCAGAGAGCACTGTGGACTCAAACAAGGATGGATCTGGACCAAACTTGGCACAAATATTCCCTATGCCCAACTAGAAGCACAGATGGAGTTTGGGGGAAATAGACCTTGACATTTGGGAGATGTAGTTGCTGGGATTTATAGTTCACCTACAATCAGAGAGAACTCTGAACTCCACCAATGATGGAATTGAACCAAACATGGCACACAGGAGTCCCATAGCCAACAGAAAACACCAGAAGGGTTTGGTGGGCATTGACCTTGAGTTTGGGAGTTGTAGTTCACCTCCATCCAGAGAGCACTGTGGACTCAAACAAGGATGGATCTGGACCAAACTTGGCACAAATATTCCCTATGCCCAACTAGAAGCACAGATGGAGTTTGGGGGAAATAGACCTTGACATTTGGGAGATGTGGTTACTGGGAGTTATAGTTCACCTGCAATCAAACCCCATGAACAACAGTTTCCCCACAAGCAGAAAGACACGACACAGATGAGAAACCAACACTTTCTCATGACTTTATTTTCCAGATCAACAGACTGGGCCACAGCAACGCCTGGCAGGGGGCGGCTAGCATTGAAGAGGCAGAGGACCCTCCCTGCCCCACCGGGACCCTCGGAGGGGGGAAGGCACCCCCCTGAAAGGCAACCCCCGAGTTTGGGGAAGAGGCCCAAGGGGGGGAGGGGGGCAGGGAGGGGGGCAGGGAGGGGGGCAGGAGCTCTGGCAGCCCCCCCCCACCTGGCCTTGCTCAACTCCGTGGGAGGGGGCGGCCTTCCCTCCTGGGCTCCTCCTGGGATCCCATGCCTCTCATCCCCTCCCCTCCCCCCCAATTCAACCCCAACCTTTTCCAGCCCCACCCCCACCCACCTTCCCCCCCAATGCCCCCCAAATCACCTCCTTCCTGCTTTCCTGAAGCCAGCCAGCGCCTCTCTCTCTCTCTGGGTGGGTGTCTTTTCCCAGAAACTGGGGGCGGGCCCCTGCTGTGACGTCAGCGAAGCCCCACCTTCCTCCGGGCATCCCATAATACCAACCCCCCCCCCTTCCCAATTACTTACTGGCTCTGGCTGGTTTCTCGGGCGCCCCTGCAGGCGGAAAGGCGCACTGCAGCCAAATCATCACATCATAATGGGTTGTTGTAGGTTTTTTCGGGCTGTATGGCCATGGTCTAGAGGCATTCTCTCCTGACGTTTCGCCTGCATTATGGCAAGCATCCTCAGACGTAGTGAGGTCTGTTGGAACTAGGAAAAAGGGTTTATATATCTGTGGAATGACCAGGGTGAGACAAAGGACTCTTGTCTGCTGGAGCTAGGTGTGAATGTTTCAACTGACCACCTTGATTAGCAATTTATTGTCGAAGGCTTTCATGGCCGGAATCACTGGGTTGTTGTAGGTTTTTTCGGGCTGTATGGCCATGGTCTAGAGGCATTTTCTCCTGACGTTTCGCCTGCATCTATGGCAAGCATCCTCAGAGGTAGTGAGGTCTGTTGGAACTAGGAAAAAGGGTTTATATATCTGTGGAATGACCAGGGTGGGACAAAGGACTCTTGTCTGCTGGGGCTAGGTGTGAATGTTTCAACTGACCACCTTGATTAGCATTTGATTTATTGTCGAAGGCTTTCATGGCCGGAATCACTGGGTTGTTGTAGGTTTTTTCGGGCTGTATGGCCATGGTCTAGAGGCATTTTCTCCTGACGTTTCGCCTGCATTTATGGCAAGCATCCTCAGAGGTAGTGCGGTCTGTTGGAACTAGGAAAAGGGGTTTATATATCTGTGGAATAATGACCAGGGTGGGACAAAGGACTCTTGTCTGCTGGAGCTAGGGGTGAATGTTTCAACTGATCACCTTGATTAGCATTTGATTTATTGTCGAAGGCTTTCATGGCCGGAATCACTGTTGTTGTAGGTTTTTTCGGGCTATATGGCCATGTTCTAGAGGCATTCTCTCCTGACGTTTCGCCTGCATCTATGGCAAGCATCCTCAGAGGTAGTGAGGTCTGTTGGAACTAGGAAAAGGGTTTATATATCTGTGGAATAATGACCAGGGTGGGACAAAGGACTCTTGTCTGCTGGAGCTAGGGGTGAATGTTTCAACTGATCACCTTGATTAGCATTTGATTTATTGTCGAAGGCTTTCATGGCCGGAATCACTGGGTTGTTGTAGGTTTTTTCGGGCTATCTGGGCCATGGTCTAGAGGCATTTTCTCCTGACGTTTCGCCTGCATTTATGGCAAGCATCCTCAGAGGTAGTGCGGTCTGTTGGAACTAGGAAAAGGGGTTTATATATCTGTGGAATAATGACCAGGGTGGGACAAAGGACTCTTGTCTGCTGGAGCTAGGGGTGAATGTTTCAACTGATCACCTTGATTAGCATTTGATTTATTGTCGAAGGCTTTCATGGCCGGAATCACTGGGTTGTTGTAGGTTTTTCCGGGCTATCTGGCCATGTTCTAGAGGCATTTTATCCTGACGTTTCGCCTGCATTATGGCAAGCATCCTCAGAGGTAGTGAGGTCTGTTGGAAGTAGGAAAATGGGTTTATATATCTGTGGAATGACCAGGGTGGGAGAAAGAACTCTTGTCTGCTGGAGCTAGGTGGGAATGTTTCAACTGATCACCTTGATTAGCATTTGATGGCCTGGCAGTGCCTGGAGCATCACTGGGCTGCTGTAGGTTTTTCCGGGCTATCTGGCCATGGTCTAGAGCAGGGGTCCTCAAACTAAGGCCCGGGGGCCGGACACGGCCCTCCAAGGTCATTTACCCGGCCCTCGCTTGGGGTCAACCTAAGTCTGAAATGAATTCAAAGCACACAACAATCCTGTCTCATCAGCCAAAAGCAGGCCCACACTTCCCATTGAAATACTAATAATTTTATATTCGTTAAAATTGTTCTTCATTTTAATTATTGTATTGTTTTAAGTGGTTTTTTGCACTACAAATAAGATATTTGCAGTGAGCATAGGAATTCGTTCCTGTTTTTTTCAAATTATAATCCGGCCCTCCAACAGTTTGAGGGACTGTGACCTGGCCCTCTGTTTAAAAAGTTTGAGGACCCCTGGTCTAGAGGCATTTTCTCCTGACGTTTTGCCTGCATCTATGGCAAGCATCCTCAGAGGTAGTGACTTGGCCACGGTAGTCCACGCTCTGGTTACATCCCGCATAGACTACTGCAATGCTCTCTACGTGGGGTTGCCTTTGAAGACTGCTCAGAAGCTCGGCAGCCAGGTTGCTAACAGGAGCGGCACTCAGGGAGCATACAACTCCTCTGTTGCGCCAGCTCCACTGGCTGCCAGTTTGCTACGGGCACAATTCAAAGTGCTGGCGTTAGCCTATAAAGCCCTAAATGGTTCTGGCCCTACTTACCTCTCCGAACGCATCTCCTCCTATGAACCGACCAGGACACTAAGATCGTCTGGGGAGGCCCTGCTCTCGGTCCCGCCTGCATCGCAGGCGCACCTGGCGGGGACGAGAGACAGGGCCTTCTCAGTGGTGGCCCCTCGGCTGTGGAATGCCCTGCCTGCAGACATCAGATCGGCCCCCTCGCTGTTGGCGTTTCGGAGGAAGGTGAAGACCTGGCTATTCGAACAAGCGTTTGACTAAACAGTGAAATTGAACATAGGAATACGGAACAATGGATAATGAGAGTGGATTCTGATTTTATTGTTGAGGCGTTATGATTGTTATACTGTTGTTAATTGTTGATGTTATAATCTGTTTTAATTGCATTATACTGTTTTGTGATATTTTGCATTGTTGTGTAAACCGCTTTGAGTCGCCTAAGGGCTGAGAAAAGCGGTATAGAAATAAAGTAAATAAAGCAAATAATAAATAAATAGTGAGGTCTCTTGGAACTAGGAAAAAGGGTTTATATATCTGTGGAATGATGTCCAGGGTGGGACAAAGGACTCTTGTCTGCTGGAGCTAGGTGTGAATGTTTCAACTGATCACCTTGATTAGCATTTGATGGCCTGGCAGTGCCTGGAGCAATCTTTTGTTGAGAGGTATATAATAATAATGGGTTGTTGTAGGTTTTTTGTAGTTTCACTCTCATCAAGCCCGTCTCTAGTCGCAGGGTGGCATTAGAAATGCATTGAGGGCTACAAGCTGGGTAGATGCGGGGAATGATGCCGTGGATGTAGCGTACCTGGATTTCAGGAAGGCCTTCTTTGACAAGGTCCCCCATGACCTTCTGGCAAGGAAACTAGTCCAATGTGGGCTAGGCAAAACTACGGTGAGGTGGATCTGGAATTGGTTAAGTGGACGAACACAGAGAGTGCTCACCAATGCTTCCTCTTCATCTTGGAAAGAAGTGACAAGTGGAGTGCCACAAGCAGGGTTCCGTCCTGGGCCCGGTCCTGTTCAGGATCTTCATTAACGACTTAGATGAAGGGCTAGAAGGCAGGATCATCAAGTTTGCAGACGACACCAAATTGGGAGGGAGGATAGCCAATAGTCCAGAGGACAGGAGCAGGATTCAAAACGATCTTGACAGATTAGAGAGATGGGCCAAAACTAACAAAATGAAGTTCAACAGTGACAAATGCAAGATACTCCACTTTGGCAGAAAAAATGAATGCAAAGATACAGAATGGGGACAATGCCTGGCTCGAGAGCAGTACGTGTGAAAAAGATCTTGGAGTCCTCGTGGACAACAAGTTAAACATGAGCCAGGAATGTGATGTGGCGGCAAAAAAAGCCAATGGGATTTTGGCCTGCATCAATAGGAGCATAGTGTCTAGATCTAAGGAAGTCATGCTACCCCTCTATTCTGCTTTGGTTAGACCACATCTGGAATATTGTGTCCAATTCTGGGCACCACAATTCAAGAGAGATATTGACAAGCTGGAATGTGTCCAGAGGAGGGCGACTAAAATGATCAAGGGTCTGGAGAACAAGCCCTATGAGGAGCGGCTTAAGGAGCTGGGCATGTTTAGCCTGAAGAAGAGAAGGCTGAGAGGAGATATGATAGCCATGTATAAATATGTGAGAGGAAGCCACAGGGAGGAGGGAGCAGATCAAAGGTCTGGAGAACAAGCCCTATGAGGAGCGGCTTAAGGAGCTGGGCATGTTTAGCCTGAAGAAGAGAAGGCTGAGAGGAGATATGATAGCCATGTATAAATATGTGAGAGGAAGCCACAGGGAGGAGGGAGCAAGATCAAGGGTCTGGAGAACAAGCCCTATGAGGAGCGGCTTAAGGAGCTGGGCATGTTTAGCCTGAAGAAGAGAAGGCTGAGAGGAGATATGATAGCCATGTATAAATATGTGAGAGGAAGCCACAGGGAGGAGGAGGGAGCAAGCTTGTTTTCTGCTTCCTTGGAGACTAGGACGCAATGGAAGAATGGCTTCAAACTACAAGAGAGGAGATTCCACCTGAACATGAGGAAGAACTTCCTGACTGTGAGAGCCGTTCAGCAGTGGAACTCTCTGCCCCGGAGTGTGGTGGAGGCTCCTTCTTTGGAAGCTTTTAAACAGAGGCTGGATGGCCATCTGTCAGGGGTGATTTGAATGCAATATTCCTGCTTCTTGGCAGGGGTTGGACTGGGATGGCCCATGAGGGTCTCTTCCAACTCTTTGATTCTATGATTCTATGAGGACCCCAAGATCTCTCAGAAACTTTGACTGAACCAGCTCTAATGGGGCAAAACTGGGAAGGGGCCCAGCTGAGCCCCATACAAGAGTTGGGCTAATGACTTGGCTTCAAACAGCTTGAGCGCTGCCGGTGTGAAGTGGGCCCCTCTTGTCCTGAGACACTTAAGAATGGCCATTGAGCTCCCCTGCGCGGTGTTGGCTACTTGATCCCCATGAGCTCTTCTGCTTCCATTAGATTGGAGATGTCACTTGTTCAGTTTTATGGCCATCTATGCTCCAAGAGTAAGTCCTGGGCCTATTAGCGAAAGCCATGATTTTGGTTTGATTGTCATTAAGTTGGAGCTGATCTGTGTTG